AATAACAAAACCACAAATGTAGTACATTTGAGTCACGAAACTCCCCACTACTGACAGTTGAACAGACACAGAGCGATTTCCAGCTGGTCAGCATTCATTTTAGCTTGAGCTCCACATCCCCTTAATCCAATGGAATCCAATAAGGTTCGCTTTAATAGCACAGTGCAACGCAAGGGATCGGACTCCATAAACCCTGTACTCCAGGACAGCATCCCTGACCCACTGACCCACTTCTGACAGGGGTTAAGGAAAGGTACATCAGACAGGGAAGTTCACTCCTGTCATTCACACAACCCGTGCAACTGTTGAAGATACAAAAGCTTCAAGCCACAACTGTTCCTCCCAGATTTACAAAGCTGAACAGCTCCAGTGAAAGCAACAGCCCTGGCAAGCTCTGACTCCCAACCTTCCTTCAGCTTATTCCCAGCAAAACCACAGCATTCCCTCAAGGAACAGCCCTTTGCATCTTGCAGAGCAGCAGCTCTGTAAGGAGCATAATGTGCCCCAACTGGCATCCTTCCCTTTCTGGATGGTCTGGATGAACTGTTCAAGTCCTCAAGAGAATCTAAGATTTGAGATGAGAGGTGAAAACCATACATTTATGGAGGTAAAAACCCCAGGAGCTGAGCCTTATCAGTGGGAATGGCATTTGAGATCAGAGTCCTGGAATCCATTTGGGATCAGATTACTTCAAGCAAGAATTAAAAATATGAATATATATGTATATATGTATACACACACACATTTTTACAATGTATACTATTTTTCCGACAGCCACTACAGGCAGGCAGTGTTAACACACCCTTCAGTTCTCAGCTGAGCAAGAAAAAACCATAAAAAACCAGGAATATCATTAAGCCCCCCCTCAGTACTCACACTGCCCCCTCAGCCCTCCTGCCTGGTCACGATTCACCCTCTGCAGAGAACACAAACAGCAGACAAAGCCCTCATCCAGACTGCTCCAAAACAAGCTCCTTCTCCCACAATCCTGACAAAATGAAGAGACAACCTCGCTAAAATAAGATCCGGATGTGTATTTATACTTCTGCCACAAAATGTTATTTATTCATCATCTTATTGGCAAGTCTTCCCGATATTTAGAAGAAGCCCCTACAAGAACTGTGTTATCCCTCAACTCCAAACCTAAATTTCCCTAAGGGATTCAGGAGGAGGATTTCTGTACTACTCCAACCTGCCCCCTCTCTATTCTCTATGATTTCATTCCAGCTGCTGAGCAACACCCACGACAGCCCCTACGTAACGTACGATCCCGATTACGCTCTGTGCACGCGTCTCCGTGATCCTGCAGGAAACCAGGCTCGGAGCATTCCACTCTGAACTTACACCATCCCAGGTTTTCCTCCTCCATCCCCACGCACAAACCTCTTCCCAGCACAGAGCGGTTTCGCCGCAGGCAAAGGCGGCCAAACCAGCACATTCCAGTCTTGCTCCCATCACCGCATTCCAGATTAATTTTAATGGCATTTGCAACAGCTGTAGTGGGAATGAAAAAAGACACCCTCGTGGAGGCTACTCCACAGATCCCAGGAAGTTAATTCTGCCTCTGGTCAAATACTGGGAGTCAGCTCCACGCTGTCCAGCGTGCCTTAAAAAAAGCAGGAGCCGCGAGCTAGTGGGATTAGGGATCAACAGGAGAAAGCTCCCTGATTTCACCTAAGGTGATCCGGTCTGCAGTGCTCCTTGCCAGTCCCCTTCGGCATTCCCAGCCCTGCAAACGTTTTTCCTCTGCATTAAGAAAGCAGGGAAAAGTCTGGGCAACTTGAGCTTTGGTTCCTCATATTCCCAAAAATCAGCCCCCCACGTGCATCCCCTCCTCTGTCCCTGCCGGTATCGCTCCGGAGTCCCCCTCCCCACCGGCTCACTCGAGCGTGCCCCGGCTTAGAGTGTTTGTGCACGGCTAAAGCACAGTCGTTCCTTTTGCCTGACTCCGGGAGAGGAAAAATCCAACTTGCCAGAGGAGCATCTGCATCGAGAACTGCCTTTGCTGATGGGATCAGCACTCGGGAGCACCAGAGGAAGCAGGAGAAAGGGTCGCGGACCAATTCATCATCCTCGCACGCATGACCCGCAGACATCCCCCCCCCCCCGCCGTCCCCCAGCCCAAACCTCGGCCGTAAAAACCCCATAAAAATAGAATAAACCCCCAAGCAGAAGTTGAGAACAAATGTGCTTTGAACGCTGCACAAATGACATTGAAGATGCAGAAGAAATATGTATTTGCTGTTGCACTGCACGATTCCAGGGGCTTATTTCCTACGTACACATCTCACGCACCCTTCCCACGCACGTCCCCTCCCCTCCACCCCCGCGGCTCCTTCAAAAAAAAATTCGGGAAAATAAAAATCTTTGATCCCTAAGGATTATTTTAAAAGCTACAAAGCCCAATCGACCCCCATCTGCAGCCTCTTCCCTACAGCCTGAGCCATCCGGGGGGTGGAGGGGGTGTACCCAGCGCTCTGTGGCACAACCCGGAGCCGTCCCTCCGCCCCCTATCCCAAATCTCCCAGGTTTTCCACGTTACTAACCCGCGTCCCAGCTCAGAGGACGCCGGGCCACGCCGGGTCTTTACAGCTGTCCTTACACCACCTCTTTCCGTAAGCCCGACATCTCTGTGGCAGTGTTTGCATCCACAGGCTCTTTCATCCTGGAGAATCCCTCCCTGCCTCCTCCCACCGCTCTTTTTGGGGAGGATAACGTAATTTCCAGCTCACGCTGGAGGATGCTTTTTTATTCCTGCTGAGCCCGAGGTCACTTCCTAGACCTCTCCTCTGGCCAGCGTCTCCTCCACCCCAGGACCTCCCTCCGGAGGGAACAGTCCCTTCTCCCTGACCTTCAGCCTCACAGCGGCGGCCCCACCGCCGTCCCCACCGAGGAAAAGGTTCCTTCTCCCTCCCAAGCCACAGCCGAGGCATCACGCTGCGTTTTTCCACTCCCCCAACCTGCTCCTTCGGCATCGGGGGGGGGGGTCAGCGAGCCAGGGGGCTCCCGCTCCGCCAGCTCTCGGGGATAGGGGAGACCCTCACCCTCTCCTCACCTACGGGAGGTTTGATCTGTCCCAAGGGGACATGAACCCTCTGGAATTGGGACATCCCGGCACTCGGTAGCCGGGGGTCCGCTCCCCCCCGCAAACCCTCTCTGGAGCAGCCTCCGTGTTCTGTGGGGTCTTTCTCTGGCTGTCCCACGGCTCCAGGAGGGGGGTAGTGGGGTGAGTACCCCCTCAGGGCCACAGGAGCTCCCTCTGCAGCGCTGCTGCTGCGAGGGTCACCCCCAGCCCCAGGCCTGCCTCCACAGGGATGTCCCCCCACCATCTCCTGTCGGGAAGAGCAGCTCCATGACCCCTTCCCCGTCCAGCCCTATGTGTGTGGGGCAACATCTACAACCCCATGGAGCCAGAATCCGTTCCATCCCATGCCATGAGGGGCACAGACCCGCGTTCCCTCTGGACTGTGAGATGACAGTAGCCCCATTCTCCTCTCTCCAGCCCCACACACTCATTTGGGGGGCATGTCTCCTCCCTTTGGAGTTGTTTCCCAAATATCCACATGGGGGGCACCAACCCACATCCTGTTTGGACCAACGAACCCCACTTCTCCCACCTAAGCCCCAAAGACACATTTTGGGGGAACTTGTCTTCCTCTCAGATGTCCCTTCAGCACAACAGGGGCCCTGACAGCTCCTCCACCATGGGGACCACTGGCAAAGCTCCACCTTGGACTGTGAGGTGACAACGACTTTGTGGCCCCCATCTCAACCCCAAAGGCTCATTTTATGGGAATCTCCTCCCTTTGGGTCTCTCCTCACCCAAAATTGGAGTAATCCCCGAATCTCCATGGGGAGGGCACCACACTGACCACAATCATCTCAGATCACAAGCTGACAATGACCCCCATCTGCCCCACCTCAGCCAGGGACAGTGACCCACCTCCAACTCAAACCATGAGATGACACTGATCCATGTTCGCCCAGACCATGAGGTGATGCTGACCCACATCCACCTCAAACCATGAGGTGACACTGACCCACGTCCATCTCAGACCACGAGCTGACAACGACCCGCACTTGTCCCAGATCAGCCAGAGGACACTGACCCACATTCACCTTGGACCACGAGGTGACACTGACCCATGTCCACCTCAGACCAGGAGCTGACAATGACCCTCATCTATCTCACCTTGGCCAGGGGACACTGACCCACATCCATCTCAGACCACGAGCTGACAGCTCCCCACCTCAGCCAGGGAACGGTATCCACGTCAAACCATGAGGTGACACTGACCCACGTCCACCTTGGACCACGAGGTGACACTGACCCATGTCCATCTCAGACCAGGAGGCAACACTGACCCACATCTGCCTTGAACCACGAGCTTTCAGCTCCCCACCTTGGCCAGGGGACACTGACCCACCTCAGACCAGGAGGTGATGCTGACCCATGTCCACCTCAAACCATGAGGTAACACTGACCCACAACCACCTCAAACCACCAGGTGACACTGACCCACGTTAGATCATGAGGGGACACTGACCCACCTCACATCAAGAGGTGACACTGACCCACGTCCACGTTAGACCATGAGGGGACACTGATCCACCTCAAACCAAGAGGTGACACTGACCCACGTCCATGTTTAGACTATGAGGGGACACAGATCCACCTCAAACCAAGAGGTGACACTGACCCACGTCCACCTCACACCGGGAAGTGACACTGCCCCACGACCACCTCAAACCAAGAGGTGACACCGACCCACGTCCACGTCAGATCATGAGGTGACACCGATCCACCTCAAACCAAGAGGTGACACCGACCCACGTCC